ATATTGCAGCCATTTGCTAAAATCATTCAAGTTCTTTTTTTTTCCTCATTAATGTACGCACAGCACCCCATATTGACAGAAAAACACAGCATTGTTGACATTTTTGCAGATTTATTAAAAAAGAAAAACTGAAATATCAGATGGTCCTAAGTATTCAGACCCTTTGCTCAGTATTTAGTAGAAGCACCCTTTTGATCTAATATAGCCATGAGTCTTTTTGGGAAAGATGCAATAAGTTTTTCACACCTGGATTTGGGGATCCTCTGTCATTCCTCCTTGCAGATCCTCTCCAGTTCTGTCAGGTTGGATGGTAAACGTTGGTGGACAGCCATTTTTAGGTCTCTCCAGAGATGCTCAATTTGGTTTAAGTCAGGGCTCTGGCTGGGCCATTCAAGAGCAGTCACAGAGTTGTTGTGAAGCCACTCCTTCGTTATTTTAGCTGTGTGCTTAGGGTCATTGTCTTGTTGGAAGGTAAACCTTCGGCCCAGTCTGATGTCCTGAGCACTCTGGAGAAGGTTTTCGTCCAGGATATCCCTGTACTTGGCTGCATTCATCTTTCCCTCGATTGCAACCAGTTGTCCTGTCCCTGCAGCTGAAAAACACCCCCACAGCATGATGCTGCCACCACCATGCTTCACTGTTGGGACTGTATTGGACAGGTGATGAGCAGTGCCTGGTTTTCTCCATACATACCGCTTAGAATTAAGGCCAAAAAGTTCTATCTTGGTCTCATCAGACCAGATAATCTTATTTCTCACCATCTTGGAGTCCTTCAGGTGTTTTTTCATGTGTCTTGCACTGAGGAGAGGCTTCCGTTGGGCCACTCTGCCATAAAGCCCCGACTGGTGGAGGGCTGCAGTGATGGTTGACTTTCTACAACTTTCTCCCATCTCCCGACTGCATCTCTGAGCTCAGCCACAGTGATCTTTGGGTTCTTCTTTACCTCTCTCACCAAGGCTCTTCTCCCCCGATAGCTCAGTTTGGCCGGACGGCCAGCTCTAGGAAGGGTTCTGGTCGTCCCAAACGTCTTCCATTTAAGGATTATGGAGGCCACTGTGCTCTTGGGAACCTTAAGTGCAGCAGAAATTTTTTTGTAACCTTGGCCAGATCTGTGCTTTGCCACAATTCTGTCTCTGAGCTCTTCAGGCAGTTCCTTTGACCTCATGATTCTCATTTGCTCTGACATGCACTGTGAGCTGTAAGGTCTTATATAGACAGGTGTGTGGCTTTCCTAATCAAGTCCAATCAGTATAATCAAACACAGCTGGACTCAAATGAAGGTGTAGAACCATCTCAAGGATGATCAGAAGAAATGGACAGCCCCTGAGTTAAATATATGAGTGTCACAGCAAAGGGTCTGAATACTTAGGACCATGTGATATTTCAGTTTTTCTTTTTTAATAAATCTGCAAAAATGTCAGCAATTCTGTGTTTTTCTGTCAATATGGTGTGCTGTGTGTACATTAATGAGGAAAAAAAATTAACTTAAATGATTTTAGCAAATGGCTGCAATATAACAAAGAGTGAAAAATTTAATGGGGTCTGAATACTTTCCGTACCCACTGTATATTAAAAAATTACTACATATTTAATCCCCAGCATATGGAACATTTAAAATATGGAATATTGGATATTAAAAAATATATTATGTATTCAATCCAATTCAATCTTTAGTCATTGCATGCAGTAACCTCAACACAGTAAGACATTTTTTTTTTTAAATGTATCTTTAGGGGTACAACAACTTGCAAGTACCCTTAAAGGGGCACCTTTGTACCTTAATTTGTACTCTTAAAGGTGTATATTAGTATCTTCAAAGAATATTTACTACTATGAACATTGAATATTGAGAGTGAAAAAGCAGTTTTAAGAATGTGATTTTTGGGAGTAGGAAAAAAAAGTACATAATTGTTGCATATAAAACTAACACTAGGTTATTCATAGCTGCTGTTCTCTAAATGATAACTATTTTCTTTGTCTGGTTCTACTTCTCTTATAGTGGTGGACTGAGAAAGGGCTGGAATTTGTCGAAGAGATGAAAGAAAAAGAAAGCTGCTGTGAAAATAATGACATTGCTTCTCAAACAACCAAGTAGTACAATATACTGCAATGCTTCAGATAACCATTACCAGTGCTGTAAATATCTCATCAGTTACATTCATCTCCTGCATTTTAGGTTCAAATCAGCAGTGAAAAGCGTGAATTTGACACCTAATTCTCTGTTCCTTGGCCTCCATGAGACTCACTTGCAGTTTATTGTATGGAAGGAGATGCTGGGCTTTATTAAACAAGGTGAGGACATCAGATATACAAATGTGGACAATATGTAAAAGTGTATAAATGTTTATTAGGCAAATAAACATTTAGCAAATTCACAGTATTGGTATTTGTACACTACTGGTTTCTTATGCTCACCAAGACTGCATTATTTGATTGTAAATACAGTAAAAACATATTTTTGACATTGTGAAATTTTCTGTTTGAATATGTTTTAACTTTGTAACGTTAGAAATGTCTTCATTGTCACTTTTGATAAATGTAATGCATCTTTGCTTTTTAAAAATGTATTACAGTTCCCACATTATGTTATGCAGCTCAAAATATTATGCAGCACAACTAGTTTCAACACTGATTTATTGATTTATTTACTGTATATTGCTGCTGCCACACAGATCTAAAATAAACATGCAATTTATTTCCCAGCTGTTTACCTTCACAGACATAACCGACTGTTTTTTTGTAACTCGTGTGTGTTTTTAACGTAAACTTGTGTGTGAATGAGAACTTAGTTTAGTATTCGCATGCTGTGACAGCCGCTTTCTGTCTGTGTGCTTCGGGTGTGTGCACTCAGAAAACCGTATATCAGAAGTTTAAACTAATATGGTTTAAAACGCATGATTTCAGCGCGATAAACATGATAATCAGAACCAAAACAGATGTTTTTTAGCAGGTACCAGCTGTAAAGGCGCAGCTCTATTCTGGAAAAGGGGGCGGGGAGCAGCAGCTCATTTGGATTTAAAGAGACAGAGCCGAAAAACAGCGTGTTTCTGCTTCCACTCAAAATAGGCATTTTCAAAATGATATAATAAAGGATCTGTGGAGTATTTTGAGCAGAAACTTCTCAGACACATTCTGGGAACACCAGAGACTTATATTACATATTGTAAAAAGGGGCATAATATGTCTCCTTTAATATTAATATTACATTAGAAAACAGTTATTTTAAATTTTAATAATATTACACAATATGAAAGTTTTCACTATATTTTTGATCAAATAAATGCAATATTGGAGAGACTTCTTTCTAAAACATTTCAGAAATAATAATTATTTCCAACTTTTGACTAGCAGTGTATGATAAACCAAGCTGCGTTTGTCTTTCTCTGTTTGTCTTAGTCCCGGATCGTAATGTCATTCATGACTGTCATGATCCATACCTGAGGGTCTCCTCTGATGGACGCAGCGTCATCCGCACATCCAAAAAGGGGATTTTCTTACGCCACAAAGACTACAGGCCTCTGGCCCGGACCCACAAGACCTTCCAGTCAGGACAGCACTACTGGGAGGTGGATGTAGGAGCAAAGATAGACTGGAGTGTAGGCTTCGGTGGTGGGTGTATAAGCAACTTAAACAAGGACATTGGGCTCCACCTTAAGCATGAGCAAGGCTACTACATCAAAGAGTATGAGACAGTGACAGAGATAGATCTGACAATGAAACCACGCAGGATAGGGCTGTACCTGGACTGCGACAGGTGTCAGGTGTGCTTCTATAATGCGGATGACATGACTCTGCTGCACACCTCCACATACCCTTCATCCATCCCTTACTCCCTCAGCCTCTCTCCAGGAGCTTATCTGGCAGGGAAGAATGCTGATCCGCTCACAGTCACCTGGAACTGATCCATCTGGGAAATAATTGGACACTTTAGTAAGATGGTTGTAAGAACTGGTCCATTTATGGTTTTTGAGGTGATATAATAGTGCTTGAGAGAAAATGTATTGGCTGGTGTATTTGCTTGCTCAGTTTGTTAGTGGGTGGTTTGCTTTACTTTTTAAAAAGTATTTGTGACAGGCACTTTAAGCACTAAATTCTGAGAACACAAAAGATCACAAGATTTTTTTGTCGTCCTTTTAGAGCCATTTCTAAAACATTAGAAAAAAATAATTCTTTGGTGAGCCATAATTATAACATAATGCCACAAATTTTTGTTACTAAGTCATAATTATATATTATAACATAGAAAGTCAAATTGTAGACAAAATTATGTCAAAATGATGATATACTAAGCCATAATTATAAGTAAAAGTCGTAATTTTAATGTAATAATTATGACTTTTTTTATCTCATAATTTCAACTTTTTGTTCTAATTCCACCTGTCATAATTATCACTTTTTATGCCATAATTATGACGTATTTATGTCATAACTAAGACTGTTTGTCATAATCATGTTATGTCAAATGACTGTAACTGTCATAATTGTTGTCATAAAGACTAACAATATCATAATGATTGTATCATGTCATAATGACTGTAACAATGTCATAATGACTTTGTCATAATTATGACTTTTTTTGTCATAATTATGTTATGTCATAAAAACTGTAACTATGTCATAATGACTGTTTGTCATAACTATGACTCCCTAGTTTTCAAATTTTGTCAATTTTTATAATATAAATAATCTTGACTTTGTATGATTGTCATCATTTTTGTTTTTTGTCTCATAATGACCTTTATTTGACTTTTTTTTTTTGGTGGAAACCAGCCTTCATTGGAAATAGTCTAGATGCAGAAACCATGATTATAAAGTCACCTTTATTCTTTCAACATTATATAGTAAAAATAATAATTACAGAAAATATTAGTTCATACATATATGTTATGGACTATTGTTTTTTTTTTTGTGATATTCGAAATGATGTAAAATATTAGACTATAATTGTCTAATAATTTTACAAATGTTTCTGTATGTGCCACAAGAGGGCAGTGTTATCAATTGGTATTGAGAAATATTTAAAGTCTCATTTTAATTGGGAAAAATTTACATTGAGAACACATGGATTAGCTCTAGAAATCACGATGTGGGATCAAAATATCTTAATAATGGATATTAGATCTGTCTCTATTAATTACAAACTTGCATAAGGTGGGTTTGATATTATATCCCAAAGTGTGTGTAAGAAGTGAATGCACTTAAGGCATGTGCAAATGCATCACTGTATGTGTAGTTTAGGAATATTATCTGGACAGCTATATGGTCTTGAGGATTGGTAGTGACTAATTTTAGCTTTTAATTTGTTTTTGTTTTTATATATAAGTTGTTTGTTCTGTTGTTGACATCACATTAAACAGATCACTTCAGCCTTATCTCTGCAGAAGTTGTCTCTTTGGAGCTTCTGTTCATCTAGTGACATCTTAATGTGATCTGTGGTATTGCAGCTGACATGTATAAACACTGTATATTTGTGGCCACCACAACATACCTTTTCAGCACCACACACTCTACTTGCACATTGCTTCTTTTAATATTTTATTGGGTATATTTACAAACACCAACATGCATAGAGCTGATTCACAGGGAATTACAGAACTCAAGAGTTGGTACAGTACATAATATGCTTTAAGTGTGCTACCAGCGATGGGCAATACCACAGAGCTACGCAACTCATTACCACACAAGAGATAGATAGAGAGATAGACAAAAAGAACAGATAAAAAGCAGATCAATATTATGGTATATTAACCACAAACAATAAGTACACTATTTTTATAATGCAACATAGCGGTTTCTTTCTCCAGAACATACTAGTGTAATTCAAATGTCACAATTATTAATGCACAGTCATACTGAAAATGACAACTACAAGAACAGAACTAATAATAATGATAATAAATAAAATAAAATAAAAAGTCATGCATCATTGCAGTTTGCCCTGTGAGGTAAGACTATGACACTAAATATGATTTTTTCCATAACGAACCCCTGCTGCTTGCTTCTCAAACCATAAGATTTTATTATATTTTCTTCGTTTTTAAAACAGGGACATTAAAGCTCAAGCCAATTACAAAGCTGACTTCTCAAGCAGTTATATCTCAGATTGTGTTTTCTCCTAAACTATATTCTAAAAACTATACCAGCTGTCTCTTGACATACTCATACATACATAAATCCTATACATTAATTTTCAGTTGTAAGATTCATACTTATATATGTATCAGTGTGAACTAGTTACTGCTACTGTAGCCCACTGATGTTTTGCTATTGGTTGGAATAATCCAGAAGGCATATCATTACGTGGTGTGATGGGCAAAGCTGTGCTCCATGCGGACTGGCACACTAACGTCACAAGAGTAATCTTTCATTTGTCTGAATATATTTTTGAGCAGTGCCAAGTCAAGAGGCTTGACAAAAATTCATACTACACACGAGCATTCAACTGTGAGAAACACAGAGGGCCAATTAATGAACGAGAATAAGCAAGCACTTCTTTCTAAAACATTTCAGAAATAATAATTATTTCCAACTTTTGACTAGCAGTGTATGATAAACCAAGCTGCGTTTGTCTTTCTCTGTTTGTCTTAGTCCCGGATCGTAATGTCATTCATGACTGTCATGATCCATACCTGAGGGTCTCCTCTGATGGACGCAGCGTCATCCGCACATCCAAAAAGGGGATTTTCTTACGCCACAAAGACTACAGGCCTCTGGCCCGGACCCACAAGACCTTCCAGTCAGGACAGCACTACTGGGAGGTGGATGTAGGAGCAAAGATAGACTGGAGTGTAGGCTTCGGTGGTGGGTGTATAAGCAACTTAAACAAGGACATTGGGCTCCACCTTAAGCATGAGCAAGGCTACTACATCAAAGAGTATGAGACAGTGACAGAGATAGATCTGACAATGAAACCACGCAGGATAGGGCTGTACCTGGACTGCGACAGGTGTCAGGTGTGCTTCTATAATGCGGATGACATGACTCTGCTGCACACCTCCACATACCCTTCATCCATCCCTTACTCCCTCAGCCTCTCTCCAGGAGCTTATCTGGCAGGGAAGAATGCTGATCCGCTCACAGTCACCTGGAACTGATCCATCTGGGAAATAATTGGACACTTTAGTAAGATGGTTGTAAGAACTGGTCCATTTATGGTTTTTGAGGTGATATAATAGTGCTTGAGAGAAAATGTATTGGCTGGTGTATTTGCTTGCTCAGTTTGTTAGTGGGTGGTTTGCTTTACTTTTTAAAAAGTATTTGTGACAGGCACTTTAAGCACTAAATTCTGAGAACACAAAAGATCACAAGATTTTTTTGTCGTCCTTTTAGAGCCATTTCTAAAACATTAGAAAAAAATAATTCTTTGGTGAGCCATAATTATAACATAATGCCACAAATTTTTGTTACTAAGTCATAATTATATATTATAACATAGAAAGTCAAATTGATGACAAAATTATGTCAAAATGATGATATACTAAGCCATAATTATAAGTAAAAGTCGTAATTTTAATGTAATAATTATGACTTTTTTATCTCATAATTTCAACTTTTTGTTCTAATTCCACCTGTCATAATTATCACTTTTTATGCCATAATTACGATGTATTTATGTCATAACTAAGACTGTTTGTCATAATCATGTTATGTCAAATGACTGTAACTGTCATAATTGTGTTATGTCATAAAGACTAACAATATCATAATGATTGTATCATGTCATAATGACTGTAACAATGTCATAATGACTTTGTCATAATTATGACTTTTTTTGTCATAATTATGTTATGTCATAAAAACTGTAACTATGTCATAATGACTGTTTGTCATAACTATGACTCCCTAGTTTTCAAATTTTGTCAATTTTTATAATATAAATAATCTTGACTTTGTATGATTGTCATAATTTTTGTTTTTTGTCTCATAATGACCTTTTATGTGACTTTTTTTTTTTGGTGGAAACCAGCCTTCATTGGAAATAGTCTAGATGCAGAAACCATGATTATAAAGTCACCTTTATTCTTTCAACATTATATAGTAAAAATAATAATTACAGAAAATATTAGTTCATACATATATGTTATTGACTATTGTTTTTTTTTTGTGATATTCGAAATGATGTAAAATATTAGACTATAATTGTCTAATAATTTTACAAATGTTTCTGTATGTGCCACAAGAGGGCAGTGTTATCAATTGGTATTGAGAAATATTTAAAGTCTCATTTTAATTGGGAAAAATTTACATTGAGAACACATGGATTAGCTCTAGAAATCACGATGTGGGATCAAAATATCTTAATAATGGATATTAGATCTGTCTCTATTAATTACAAACTTGCATAAGGTGGGTTTGATATTATATCCCAAAGTGTGTGTAAGAAGTGAATGCACTTAAGGCATGTGCAAATGCATCACTGTATGTGTAGTTTAGGAATATTATCTGGACAGCTATATGGTCTTGAGGATTGGTAGTGACTAATTTTAGCTTTTAATTTGTTTTTGTTTTTATATATAAGTTGTTTGTTCTGTTGTTGACATCACATTAAACAGATCACTTCAGCCTTATCTCTGCAGAAGTTGTCTCTTTGGAGCTTCTGTTCATCTAGTGACATCTTAATGTGATCTGTGGTATTGCAGCTGACATGTATAAACACTGTATATTTGTGGCCACCACAACATACCTTTTCAGCACCACACACTCTACTTGCACATTGCTTCTTTTAATATTTTATTGGGTATATTTACAAACACCAACATGCATAGAGCTGATTCACAGGGAATTACAGAACTCAAGAGTTGGTACAGTACATAATATGCTTTAAGTGTGCTACCAGCGATGGGCAATACCACAGAGCTACGCAACTCATTACCACACAAGAGATAGATAGAGAGATAGACAAAAAGAACAGATAAAAAGCAGATCAATATTATGGTATATTAACCACAAACAATAAGTACACTATTTTTATAATGCAACATAGCGGTTTCTTTCTCCAGAACATACTAGTGTAATTCAAATGTCACAATTATTAATGCACAGTCATACTGAAAATGACAACTACAAGAACAGAACTAATAATAATGATAATAAATAAAATAAAATAAAAAGTCATGCATCATTGCAGTTTGCCCTGTGAGGTAAGACTATGACACTAAATATGATTTTTTTTCCATACCGAACCCCTGCTGCTTGC